CTTATACATTTTGGATATTAATTTCTCAGACAGATGATTTGCAAATGTTTTCTTCTATAAGAAAAACTGCCTTTTCCTCTTGTTGATTGTTTATTTTGCTGTGTAGAAGCTGCTTAGTTTGATGCAGTCCAGTCCCACTTTTTAATATTTGCTTTTGTTCCCTGTGCTTTTAGTGTCATCTCTAAAAAAGGGTTGATAAGACCAATGTCAAAGGTCTTTTTCCCTATGTTTTCTTCTAGGGGTTTTATAGTTCCTTTGTTTGTTTTTTTAAAGTTTTTTTTTTTTTTTTTTTTTTTTGGACACACAGAGATTACAAGTAGGCAGAGAGGCAGGCAGAGAGAGAGAAAGGGAAGCAGGTTCCCCACTGAGCAGAGAGCCCAAAGCGGGGCTGGATCCCAGGACCCTGGGATCATGACCTGAGCCAAAGGCAGAGGCTTCAACCCACTGAGCCACCCAGGCGCTCCTATTCAAAAAAATACTTACTGGACCTGTGTTATGTGCCACTTCAGGTGTGATATAATGGTGGCTTCTACCCCCCGGTGATTTTGGTGGCTTGAGCCATGATTGTCATGATGTTGTGGGTATTGAGAAGTGGAGAAATTCTGGAGCATACTGATTTTGGAAATACATGGATCATGTCTTCCTCTGCTCAGAATGGCTCCCCACTTAATGCCAATAAAAGTCAGACTTTACAGTGGCTTAACAAGTCTCTACGAATCTAATACTTACATTTTACTCTATCTTCTACTAATTTCTCATTTAATTTTAGCAGATTGCTTCCTGATACTCTTTGAAAATGCCTGGGGCTCTGTCACTGCTTCAGGGCCTTAACATAATCTGCTGTCTGAAGAATCCTGCCCCAGGTATCCATAAATGTGGCCACCGCCCTCATCTCTTCCCGGTCTTTGTGCAACTTAGTCTGCTCTAGCTCCTGAAAGTGGAAGCACATTCCCTTTCCTCTCCTGCTCTGTTATTCTCCCGATTTTAGCACTTACCAGCATTTCCCCTCCCAACTAATAGGCTTATTTGTATGTCTATCAGTTGTGTCTTATCCTCCATTTGAATGTCAGTGCCATGAAGGCAGAGGTTTTTGTCTTCTTTACTGATATATCATTGTTTAGAATAGCACCTAACACAAGGTAAATGATCAATAAATATTACCAGAAGTAACATATGAAATAAGTTACTCTTTTCAAAAGCCACAGACTATTTGAACCTTTGCTAAGTAGGGAAGTGTTCTTTTGTAGGAATGAGATGGTGTTAACTCAGCCTAACAGATAGCTTCTTGCCTCTCTGGCTATTTATTCAAATTTTCCTGAGTTTTTATATGCTTAAGGGAAGCTCAGGAAATATTGTTGTCTACTCTGTTGCGAACTCTGGGGCTAGCCTCTGGGATACATGGGCCTCTTCTTGAAGGAGAGATACTAAAGTATATCAAAAGTTTTAACTAAGTGTGCCTGGGTGTATTGTAAAGAATAATTATGTTACTTAAATTGGGAATTTTGTCTGATGCAGACACAGACATCTGAAATTTAAGGCCTTGGTATACTGAGAGGTCCTAGAAAGGAAGGCATGGTGTGCCAGGCTGACAACTGCATGGGGGGAACACCCAGCAAGCAGGATCAAAGGTGGGGGGGTGGAGCTGGAAGCTAGCGCGAGGCCCCATGGGAAGTGCTTTACTGGGGGTCGGGGTGGGTAGACAACCAAAGGCTTGCTAGGACTTCATTGGTCTGTTTGAATGTCACTATGTCATAGTCTGGAGGGCAAGAAGGGGAAACTTGTGGCAGGGACCAGACTTATCACCTGTGAACCTATTTTCCTGGGCCAGGTGCTCACAGTCTGTCTGAAGATGTTGAAGCCTCGGGAAATACAAAGTTTTAAAAATACAAAATATACGGGGTGATATTAGAAATGAATGCACAAGGCTTTGGATCCACACAGAATAGTCACCCTGGCAGTCTACAAATGGTCTGTTTCGGATTAAACGCTGTCCCAGTGGCATTGTAGTCCTAAACACATAAATCTAGCCTTGTAAAGCCTATGTAAATGTGCAGGGGTGGTGTCTGTCTCTCGTCTCTCTCAGTGAATATCCAGATGTCCTACTTAGAGCTAGCGCCAGAGAGCTGCAGAAACCTCCCAGGCTGACCCTCCCGCTGCCCTACCTGCAGCCCCCATTGATCCTCTAATGTTTTTAATCAGTCTTGCTAAATACTTCCTGTAGGGAGAATGAGTCGTGATGAGAAGTAATCTTGGGGCTTCTCTATTCTGAAAAATTCAATCACTGATCTACAGATACTGCTTATTCATCATGATACCCCAGTGCAGAAGAGGGGGATTAAATTTCATTCTTAAAGGTTATGGGATCGCTCAAGGCTTAGAGTATAGTAATGAAAAATTGAGACCCTAAAAAAGGGATTCCAGAGTCTGCATAGTGAATAAACTCTCACTAGACCTTGCTTCTGATGTGAATTTAGGATTATGTGCATAAGAATATGCCATTTGCTTTTTACTAGAGCCTTAGCAATTTTGCTATATTTCATATCTAACTTTGAGTTTTTTTTTCTTCAGTTTAAAGCAAATTCTCTTCAGTTTTTCTGAGGTGGTATATAATTTCTGGACCTATTCCCCACTGGTCTGGAGTGGCCTTACTAATAAGTCCTCTTAGTTAAGATTAGAAGCCATTTCCCCCAAACAGAAGCAGTCTCCTCAGCAGGCCTAAGCCTAATTGCTTACAAGTTACCCTCTTGCTCTGAAGATTAACAGAGGTCCCTGTCTCTGTCTATGTATTCAGAGTAATACGTGCTTCCTAGGTTGCGTGCTCTTCTTGGACGCTGAGTCTAATGTTTTGAGTTCTTGAAAGATCTCCAAAACCAGTATTGTGTATGGGTCTTAATAAACTCTAGCTTTGACATGAAGTATCTTATCCAAAGTAAAAATTCCCATTCTCCCTACATTCTGATAGAGTCAGAAAACTCATTTCAGATGTCTTGGTTCTTCTGTATAATTTGCCTTTTGTCTTTTTATGGAAACCCATTCTGATTTACGTATTCCCACAATATAGCAATTAAGCTATTTCTTCCTTAAGTGATGTGTCATTTCTTGCAGTGTCTTCACTTACTCTTTCATGAAACACTTGTCTCTCTTCAATGTGTTAGGCACGATTAACAGTGGGACCAGAGAAACACAGTGGGACCATGAAGCCTTTGGCTTCATGGACTTCATACCACTTACTCTTCTAGGAAATGTACAGGTCATATGGGTGCTTGGTTAAGGTTATTCTTTTAAAACCTTGGCATCTTTATGGACAAAATCTTATTTAAGCTTTTTTTCATGAACTATTTTAAAAACCTAACAACCACATACTCCCTACTTTTAAGCAATTTCTTTTTTATTCCAGATGGAATGATTATTATTACAGTCCATTTTTATTATTTTTAAGGTTTTCTTGTGCTACTTCAAATGCTTCAGTCCTTCCTCTTCCATAATGACTATATCCACTTTGACTCTGTTGATACATTATGAGATTAGGATGAGTATAGAAGAAGGTGCGTAGGGTCATGGGAGGAGGCAGTGCCTTATGTTCTCTTCTCAAGCCCACTATGGGCTGCTTTATTCAGGAGAAGGTTCCTCCGCTCTCTTTTACTTCCCCACAACTCATCTTTACCCTTTGCCTTCTATAGAAGGAAAGCAGCAAAGTAATAATATATATTAAAATCCTGGAAATACTTTTTCAGCAACAGGGGAACATTTAAATAAATTATACTTTAGTTCTAGGAAATGCTATCTTGAAAGTGTTAAGTGGTGGAAAAATAACATATCAAACTATAGGTAATAATAACAAAAATGTTAAAAACATATAACTGTAATAATACCAAAAATAATATGGTGGTAGAATAAGAGCTAATGTTTTTATTATTTTTAAAATTTTTATTTAAATTCAATTTAGTTAACATATACTTTACTGTTAGTTTCAGGGGCAGAATTTAATGACTTATCAGTTGCATATAATACCTAGTACTCACCACATCCTCTGCCCTCCTTAATGCTCATCTCCCAGTTATCCCATCCCCGCACCCATCTCCCCTCTAGCAATCCTCATCTGTTTTAAAAAAGGGAAAATAACATAAAGCTGTATTGGCATAAAAATATCTGGAACCTTCAGTTTGTTCTCTATTGTTAAGAGTCTCTTATGGTTTGCTCCCCTCTCTGTTTTCATCTTAATTTATTTTTCCTTCACTTGCCCTATGTTCATCTGTTTTGTTTCTTAAATTCCACATATGAGTGAAATCATATGGTATCTTTCTCTGACTTACTTTACTTAGCCTTATACCCTCTAGTTCCATCCACATCATTGCAAATGGCAAGAGAGTAATAGCTAATAATTTTTAAAGAATCACTATGTCATGAACATGTTCTAAATGCTTTATACTGAACTCCTTTGAGTACCTCATTTAAATCCCACAACAAACTTATCAGTTGGCAAATATTATCCAATTTTTGCACATGAACATAAAAATGAAGACCTGAAAGTTTAGGCAATATTGCTAGGCTCAATAAAAAGATGGTATAGGTTCTCAAGATACTTGAATTCTAGTGGGGTGATGAACCTTTGTATTTATAAGAAGAGCCCATGGATATGCTATGGGGTGGATGGGAGAGGCACCAGCTGCGAAGTCAGGGAAGATTCCAAATGGAAGGAACACATAAACAGACTTGTAAAGGAAGAGTTGACTAGTTTTCCAGGTCAACAGGCGGATGGGAAAAACAAAATTTATACTTGAAAGAGAATGGTCTCGAATTGTGACTGCTTCTCACCAATTATGCAACTTTAAACAAGTAACTTCAATCCTTCATCTGAACAAAAGAAATTATATCTACCATTTCTCTGTGGCTTATCACAGAAAATATAGTATTGGAAGCTCTTTTTCATTGTTAGATGCTATTTAATTATTGAAAATACTTTAAATGTGTGACTTTCAGTTTTGCTTTGCCTTGCTTAGGTAGATGTAATTGTGACCTTGGGAGGTCTTGGTGGGCGTTTTGACCAGATTATGGCATCTGTGAGCACCCTGTTCCAAGCTACTTGCATCACTCCTGTGCCAATTATAATAATCCAAGAGGAATCTCTCATCTACCTGCTTCAACCAGTAAGTGAAGAGTAAATATAATGTCAGCACTTTGCTTCCACAGAACTTTTAACATTCAAGTAGACTTGCAGAAAACACGAGCCTACTGTGTGTCTTTGAAGTTGACACATGAGTGAAGTTGATCATGTTGGCCTACTTGTGTTTACCCTGTTCTACTGCCTCAGAGCATGGAACAGCAAACATGTACAGGAGAAGCCTCAAAGTTTTCATTTTATTATGCCCAGAAAAAAAAAATCTTGTAACTTTTAATTAAATTGACTAAGAATTAAATTTAACACTTTTGCATTTTGAGCAGCTGAATGTGAATGCCACTTGAGAAAAATCTCAACAGAGGAAACACAAAGCTTGGCAAATATTTCAAATGGAATTCTCATATATTTTCAGTGTTGTTATAATTGGAAACTGGATTTGATTTTGTTAAGCACTAAAAAGAAAATCTTTAGCTTTTACTCTTCATAGATTGCCTGCTTATTAATTTCACTGCCTCAGAATAAATTTCTAATGATCATGTCATTCACTTCCCATAATGAATATCGAGGAGATTTCTATCAACATAGTGCTTAGAACAGAATTCTTATTAAGTAAGTTTTATAAGGTTGATCAGTGAGTTCATCTAGAAAAATAATCATCTGGTAACATTTTTAGAAGATAGTGGACAGTTGTTCTTCTTTTTTGCCTCTCATTGTAATGTACTGCTTCCAGCATTGCTTCTACCCCATCTGCTATCTACCATCTGTAGCATGTCATTACCTAAAAATTGTTGTTTGGTTAATATAGTGGATATAATGCATGCTCCCTGTTGTTCAGCCAGCTTTGCATTTTTTTTTTCCTTGTTCTTTGCATTGCCTATCTTTCTGGAACACTTCCTATGAGATGTGAAAAGAGAGCTGAAGAATTCAGTTTTCAAACTCCATACTGTCCATTTATTTAGTCAACAAACAGTTTCGGAGTGCCTGCTGTTCATTGCTCTGCTAGGCAGTTGAGGGCTAAGAAAGCTAGTAATGTGATTTTTGCTCTCTAACACATGTCTGGTGAAGAAGTCATGTGTAAAAACATAAACATAAAGCACTGTTAAAAAATTGGTACATAAACGAGATGAAAGATTATATGATTTGGTCATAAGTGTAGTAAGGAAAGCCCACTCAGGCATTCACATTTTATTCACTCAGTTAATTCAACAGATATTTATCCTGCTATATGCCAGGCATTTACTTACCCAGGGATGTGGCAGCCAATTAAAGAGACAAAATGCCTGATTTTCATTCTCTTGAGGCTACATTGGAACAGGATCTTCTAGAATGAGTGGATGTTTGCTGTGGGAGATGGTGAGGAAGCCATGCAAGGCAGAAGGAGCCACGAAAGAAAGAGAGAGGCACAGGGCATGTCGTAGGATCTGCAGTATGGAAAATACTAGAAGATGCAACTAGAAACTACTTAGCTCATGAAGAGCCTTGAGTTCTGCACAGTAGAGTGTGGACGTTTTTGCTGTAGGGAATGGAAAGTCATTAAAATATTTCACTTAGTCGTATGACATGAGCAGATATGCTTCTTAGATTTCTCATTATGTGTTTGTTAAATACCTATTAATCTTCTAACAATTTCTGAAGCGTGAAACTTTCTACCATGATAAATCATTGAGCTTTTTATATCGAATTGATGGTATGATTGCTAAAGTAGTCACCTGTAACTTGGCTGTAGGTAGATATTCTAGTGAACAGATAACCAGTTAGTTGAAGCTGCAGTACAATAATTCTTAAAAAGTAAAAAATGGAAGATTAACTGGTAGAAAAAGCCACATCTGAAAAATGACTTTTGCCCTTAAGAATTGGTCAGTGCATTTGGTGTTCTGTACCATCGTGGTAATGTGGACCATGGTGGACTTCCTAAGATGCATTCAGCTTGGGATTCCGGGGATTTCCTCCAACGACAGGTTGCTGTCTGTTGTCTGTTGAAAACCCAGCCATTAGTTTTTCAAAGACTGTTTTGGCACTATTCTTCTGCCTTCCTTAGCAACTCCAATTAATTGTAGTTAAGATCCTGCAGTTGTACCATGTGTATCTGCAAACTTCTCTTTCATGTTGTCTGTGTTTTAACCTCCCTGGGCTGCATTCTGAAGGTCATCACGTGTGCTCCATGCCGCTCTTCTGCTTCAGCTGGGTCTGTTTGCTGCTAAAAGCATCCGCAGAGCTTTAAATTCCTGCCATGATTCTTCTTTCTTATATGCTCGTCCTGTACTCACTTTTTTAAGACCTTTTTTTAAAAAAAAAAAATTATTTACTTATTTGACAGAGATCACGAGTAGGCAGAGAGGCAGGCAGAGAGAGAGAGGAGGAAGCAGGCTCCCCGCTGAGCAGAGAGCCCGATGTGGGGCTCCATCCCAGGACCCTGAGACCATGACCTGAGCCGAAGGCAGAGGCTTAACCCACTGAGCCACCCAGGCGCCCCTCAAGACCTTTCTTTAAAACATAATTGTCATACTTTATGGTCTAGAATAATTCTAAAACCTGTGGTCTTTATAAATCCACTGTCTTTTGTATTCACTTTCACTTTTATATTTTGTAACCTCGATTCCTTTTGTGTGTGATGATTTTTGGCCACGACCTTATATTCCTGGGAGCTTCACTTGTGGGAATTATTTGAAGTGTGAGTTAAAAGTGAATCCAAGGAGAATTTAGAGCAGACTCCCAGCCCTGTTATTTGTAGGCATTAACAACTTAGGACAGCTGTGGAGACTTTCTGACAGCTGCAGAGTGCCGGGGCTCGGTCGGCAGTTTTCCTAGTGGTCCGGCGGGAGTGTTATTTGTACTCCTCTCCCACTGGAAGTCTCTGCTTTACATGGTGCAGTCTCCTTTTGTACTCCCACCCTGGACGGGCCTTTGGCCTCGTCTCCTGATGACCTTCCCTACTTTGATGACTGGAAACCAAAGCTCAAGTTCGTCTGCTTTGGTAAACACCAACTATTTCAAAGATGAACGTTAGATTTGGTTTTCTTTTTCAGTCCAACCTTAGTTTTTGGCTTCTGAGTACCCTTAAAAAAACAAACAAACAAACAAAAAAACAGATGTTTGATGCCTTTTAAAAGATTTCTTTAATTTTTTTCTAGCACTTTTTATTAAGCTAGTCAGGGTACTAATTTGTCATACTGCTTCGGTAAGTACGGTGTTACCCCGCCTACGTTACAGGAGTAATTAACCCGCAATCTCAGAGGCTTACCCGAGATTATCTGTGGAATATCTGAGTGCGTATCAGAGTGGAATATCTGGTCTGGTCTGGGCGGCATCCTCCATTTTGTATCTAAGTCAACTGAAAGAAATTGTGGCATCTGTGAAAAAGATAGCTAGAAAGTGGCACTGCATGTTTTTAAAGACCACGGCCAGCTCTGTCCTCTGTCACCTTTGGTGGAGGACACAGTGACACTCCCCAGGCCACTGCAAGGCAGTCTAGGAAAATAAGGCCGTGGCCCAGGGAGAGGAACTACTGTGTGAACACAGAACATTGTCTCTCTCAAACTGCCAGAAACTGAAGTTTGGGAAGAAAGTCTGGATCATGACCCTACATAATTTCTAGGAGAATACTTTTTTCCTCATTTATAAAATATATTAAACTTTAATTAATTGTTAAAACAGAATCCTCAGTTCTCCCAACAAAGTTTTGTATCATAGTCTACATTCTCCAAAACAATGCCTCCTGGAGTCTTTGTGTGATACTGTGCTTTTGTCTCATTGAAATAACTGGGGGTGGGGGGGCGCCTGGGTGGCTCAGTGGGTTAAAGCCTCTGCCTTCGGCTCAGGTCATGATCCCAGGGTCCTGGGATGAGCCCCACATCGGGCTCTCTGCTTGGCAGGGAGCCTGCTTCCCCCTCTCTCTCTGCCGGCCTCTCTGCCTACTTGTGATCTTTGTCTGTCAAATAAATACATAAAATCTTAAAAAAAAGAAAAAGAAAAAGAAAAGAAATAACTGGGAAATTACCTGTCCTAAGAAAATAATTATTATATAGTGTGGGACAAAAACTTCCTGCACAGTCATACCCTCTGTCATGTAGAGGAGTGACAGTATTTAGCATAGACCTCACCTGTGGGACTAACGGTGCCGGCTTTGCTCCTCTTTGGCACTAGTTCTAGAGAAATCTTCCCAGATTGTGGTCTTCCTCTCTCTCTCCCTCTCTCCCCACCATCCCCCAAAAAGTAAGTAAAATCTTAAGGGGGAAAAAAAAATCTCCCGAGAGACACATACAAGGTCCCAGCTTTTCAACTGCTTTTAGTAAGAGAACACTAAGACAATTATTGGTATAAATACAAAAGTCAAAATGAGTATGTTTGAGGATTTAGGATATGAACCAATCTTATATAGTGTGCCATATTTTTAAGCAGTTTTAATTATATACTTATGAACTGTGATTAACACCAAAAAGTAATTGAAAGCTATACTAAAATTAGTGCATAGAACCATTTTGCATTCTAGAAGTGGGACTCAGATCATTGAACTGAACTGACTTTGCCATGTGTGTTTTCATAGAACTATGTGTGATGTTATCCATGTGCTAGAGCATACATCTGTGTTAGGCAGTGTGTATGTTTTGGGGAGATATTCAAAAAGGGTGTCTACAGTTACTGTTCATAATTAATAGGACTGATCACAATCACAATCACAATGGACAGAAGAAGCCTCGTAACTTTAAATTGAAACCGTTTTCAAATATTGTGGAACTAGGGCCCAAGAAAATCAATCTGGTGTGCTTCAGTGCCGAATAAAGAATGGTTTGAAACTTTTAAAATGTATTTTTTAATTGAAAGTCAATAAATAGCTGTTCTCAGAAAGGAAGATAATTTTGGAACTTTTACAAGAAGCATCTGATTTTAACTTCATAGCAATTCTGTGAGGAAAGCAGGATAGTTATGTCAGTCACACAGCAAAGCGTTTTGACTCTATACTTTCCACTACACTACTTTCTTCTTTCTTGGGGTTAGTGGCCTAACATGCAAATATCAAACTCTTTTGTT